AAAATAAAATAAAATATTTATCCAGCCTTTCTCTTTTAAACTATGTCTTCACTGAGGCGGGCAGAATGCTTTTGGGTCTCTTTATTTGTAGCTTTTCTTTGGAGGGTTAAATCCACTGCCATTTAAGATGGATAGATGAGCAATGGTTTCTTTCATTTTGTTCTTTTCCTCTAGTCATTTTGATCATTTGGTCTTCCTCTCTTCATCTTTTTGCTTTGATGATTTTCTATAATATTCTTTTCTAGTTCTCTGTATCCACCCTTCCAGTGGCCATGTACACTTTCCATATTTTCATGACAGTAGCTACCTTTCATTTCTGGCTGTCCAGCTCCCTTACGAATCTTTTGTAAGGCTAGCTTGGTGATCATGAACACCTCTTTTTATTTCTCTTAGAAGCTGTTCCTTCATTTTTTTTAAGGGTAGCTTTTCTGGGTATAGCTGGAATTGATTTTCTTCCAGGATTTGTCTTTCAATGGATTCCTAAGGTCAAGAGTTTCTGCTCAGAAACCTGTAGCTAGTCTGATGGCAATACCGTTAAATGTAACAAGTGTTTCTCAAATTTTCTCTCAAAAGTTCTGTGTCATCTTAACACTTTTGACAGGTTAATGTATCACAGATTCTAATTTCTCACTGACCCTTGAGTTCTCCTGTCAGCGTTTCAAAAATGCAGCTGTATACCTGTTACTTTTATCCTCTGTGGGAGAGCAACAGAATTTTGGCCACTAGAATCAGGAATCATGAGAAAAAGAGAGATGGATTTGGGTATGTTAATTTTGTACCTTGTCTTCTTATTTTTGCGGGGCGGGGGGGCGGGGGGAGGGAGGAAGGTCCGGTCATGAGGCCTGAACTCTGGGCCTGGGCGCTCAAGGCTAGCGCTCTACCACTTGAACCACAGCACCACTTCCAGCTTTTTTTCTTTTTGCTTATGTGGTGCTGAGGAATCGAACCCAGGGCCTCAGGCATGCAAGGCAAGTACTCTACCACTGAGCCACCTTCCCAGCCCCTGCAGAGTGATTTTTATTGGCTTAATGTAACCTGAATAATGGCCCAGATTAATTCTTTGTTCCACAAAAGGAGCTTATCATTTTCTCACCTCTGTCTTCCAAGTTTTGCAGCTTATGTTTTAAAGCAGTGTTTTCCACTAATAAGTCTTGGTTCACAATCTGAAACATACATATATATACAATTACCATGTATATGCATATATATACACATAGAATACACACACACATACACACACATACCTAATTACAAATGGAGAAGGTACTAGATTATGTTTTAAAAAGAGTAAGCCAAGCTGTGTTCAGGGGGTTCTACCTGTAATTGTAGTTACTCATGCCAAGATATAAAAGTTCATGAGCTGGGTACCAGCAACTTATTCACCTGTAATCCTAGCTACTCACAGGGCTGAGATCTAAAGATCACAGTCTGAAGCCATCCCAGGCAGCAAAGTCCATGAGACTCCTATTTTCAATTAACCCTCAAAAAGCTGGAAGTACAGCTGTGGCTCAAGTGGTAGAGAACTAGCCTTGAGCAATAAAAGCTTAGGGACAGCAACCAGGCCCTAGATTCAAGCCCCAAGACTGGCACATAAGTTCATGAGACTTTATCCCAACCAATGGCTGGGTGTTGTGCATTTGAAAGCATAATGGTTGGGTGCAGTGGCACATGCCTGCCATCCCAGTGATGAAGAGTAGCACAAATAAGAGAATTCAGGCTGGTCCAGGAATAAAGTGAGACCTTATCTTGAAAATAATCAACACAAAGAGAGACTGATAGAGTGGCTTAACTACAAATGTGCCTGAGTAACTGCAAGGCCCTAGGTTCAAATCCCAGTACTTCTGAGAGGGGGGAAACAGGCAGGGTTAGAAGGTAGATTCAAACTGCACATCATTTGAGGAGAGTCAGGGTGACAAAGGAGATATGATATTCTGAAGAAAAAAGAAAGAAAGAAAGAGAAAGAGAGGGAAAGAGAAAGAGAGAGAACATTGGGAATCACAGAGAGATAAGACAACAGAAAAATATGGAAACCCAGAGGCAACAGAGAAAAGCAGCAAATAGATTAAAACACTGTCCCCAGCTTCCTGGAAGAAACTAACGATACAATCATGAGGTAAACCAGAAGGTCCTGGTGACAGACTGGTTGCAAGGTAGGTAATTCCTTCCCATCTCCCACAGGTCTTAAATGAACATGGGGCTTCGTTGAGTCATCAGATGTTCTAGCATGGAAGAAAGACATTCTGTCACTGCCCACATCTGAGTGTTATAGCAAGACACCATCTGCAAAGAGGGTCTCTTGTTTGAGATTGTTACCATGAGGGCTAAAAACAAGGAGCCTTGAGATGATCTGCCATAATGTCTGGGTGGTAGATAGCCAAGAGATGTGGTCATGGAAGGGAAAGTCTAATGTGGTCCTCCAGAGGACTCGAAATGTGTGAGGGAACACCAGCAGCTAGGAACATGGTGGCAGAGTTCACGTTCTCCCTGGTGAGGAGCAAATGCAATCCTCTGAGAGTTGTGATCAAAGCAAAGCCCTGAGCTGTGGCTGCAAGAGGTGTTCAGCCTCCAGAACCTGCCTACTGGCTGCACGTGTTAGCTGCTACAAGGGGCTGAAGCCCTGAGCACAAACCCTCTGATTGCTGCCACACCCACAGCCTCCTCCCCCAGACCCCGACAGGGAGGTGAACTGTTGGGCCACTGCTGAGAAGAATACGGCTCACCTTATTCTTATGTATCCAAGCATATTTGCTGACAGGTAGGACTGAGCATCCTAAGGCCGGACCACCTGAATCATGACATATTCTAAGCCTTCTATCCCTTACAGGGGCTGGACAAGGTCTACCAGCCCTAAGACCAGCAGGCAGAGTATCTGTTAGTTCTCACCCTAGCTGGGCACAATTCAGTGCCCCCCTACACAGAGACAAATGCAGACTCAGAGTAAAATGATAGGAAAAGGCTTTCTACACAAACAGAGCCCCAAAGGATATGCTCATATGTTCATAGATATGTTCATATCTAACAAAGCAGACTTCAAACAAAACTTTAGTCCTGAGAAGGTCACTTCATATGGATAAAAGAAATGATCTATCAAGAGAATATAACAATTGTAAACACATATGCATGGAATGTTGGTGCTCCAACTTTAATAAAGAAACACTACTGGTATAAAAACATAGAGAGAAAAAAAGAGAGAAAAAATAAAAACATAGAGAGATCCAAGACAATAATAGAGACCTCAATACCTCCCTATCATTTGATAGATACATAATCCAGATGAAAATATCCACAAAGAAACTTCAGAATTCAATGACACTTTAGATCCAATGGACTTAACAAGCATCTGAAGACTGATCACTGCCACAGAATACACATTCTTTTCAGCCGCCCATGGAACTTTCTCCAAAATGGATTATATCCCAGAACACAAAGCAAGTTTTAACAAATACAAGAATATAGGCATTTTTTTATATTTTATCAGACCATGAGTAATATTAAAGCCCAATAACAACAGAAAATATTCAAACATCTGGAGAATGAGTATCAGTAGGTTATTAAAGAATTAAGGACAGGGCCAGTCGCCGGCGGCTCACACCGAAGCTGTGGTTTAAGTGGTAGAGCACTAGCTTTGAGCACAAAAGCTCAGGGACAACTCCCTGACCCTGAGTTAAAGACCCAGGACTGACACACATACAGACACACAGACACACACACAGAAACACACACACACAAAAGCAAAGCAGGGAAAAGATATAGTCTATGTGACTGATAAAAGTGTAACGGGCCAGGCTTGGGGGCTCACACCTGTAATCCTCGATACTCAGGAGGCTGAGATCTGAGGATCCCAATTGAAAGCCAGCCCCGGCAGGAAAATCTGTGAAACTCTTATATCCAACAAACCACCAGAAAACCGGAAGTGGTGCTGTGGCTCAAGTGGTAGAGCACTTGCCTTGAGTTGAAAGCTGAGGGACAGTGCTCAGGCCCAGAGTTCAAGACCCACGACTGACAAAAAGAAAAAAGAAAGAAAGAAAGAAGGACAGAAATCAGAATTGAAGTCTAGAGTTGAAATGAATAGGAAACCACAACTTAGCCTTTGAGATACAACAAAGGAAGTGCTAAGAGGGAAGATTACAGTTATCGGGTTACATTTGTGTTCTAAAGAAAGGAATAGAAGTTGGTGCTGGTGGCTCATGCCTGTAATCCTAGCTACTGAGGAGGCTAAGATCTGAGGATCACGGTTCAAAGCCAGCCCTGGCAAGGAAAGTCTGTGAGACATTTATCTCCAATAAACCACTAGAAAACTGGAAGTGGCGCTGTGGCTCAAGAGGTAGAGCACTCGCGGGGACAGTGCCCAAGCCCAGAGAGTTCAAGCCCCATGACCAATCAAAAAAAAGAAAGAAAGAAAGAAAGAAAGGAATAGAAGGAATATACCCAACATAATTCATACTTTACATGAAAAGCCTCTTGACAATACCATATTAATTAAATGGGGGAAATGAAGCTATCGTCTTTAAAATCAAATACTTTCTAGTGTGTCCATTTTGTCCACTCTCATTCAATTTAGTGCTTGAATTCTTAGCCAGAGCAATAAGGCAAGAGAAAGAAATAAAAAGTACACAAATAAAAAGGAAGAACTTACCCAGGTACCATTGGCTCACACCACTAATACTTGCTATTCAGGAGGCTAAGATCTGAGGATTGTGGTTTTAAGCCAGCAAGGACAGAAAAGTGTGTGAGACTCTTCTCCCCAATTAACCATCAAAGAGCCAGAAGTGGAGCTGTGGCTCCAACAGTAGAGTGTCGGCCTTGAGCAAAAAAACTCAGGGATAGTGCCCAGACCCCAAGTTTAAGTTCCAAGAGAAGGAGAGGGAGAGGGAGAGGGAGAGAAAAATGTTCAATGCCATTTTTCATAGAAATAGAAAAATCAATCCAAAAATTCATAGAGAAGCATAAGGATACTAACCCTGAGCAACAAGAACAATGCTGGGGGTATCCCAATATCTGACTTTAAATTATACTACACCACCACAGGTTTAAAAGCAGGGGCAGCAAAGTACAAACAGATCCATAGCTTGTCTTCAATGGCTCACATCTATAATCTTATTTACTCAGAAGGCTGAGATCTGGAGGAACATAGTTTGAAAGCCAACCTAGACAAAAAGTCCATGAACTTGTTGTACCCCCAAATACCCAGCAAAAAGCATGGCTAGGTATTTGTCTCAACTGATAGAGCAAGTCAGGGTAGTGTGAGACCCTGAATTCAAACTGGAGGAGGAGGAGGAACAGGAGGAGGAGTAGGAAGGAAAGAAAGAAAGAAAGGAAGGAAGAAAAGAAGGAAAGAGAGAAAGAAGGAAAGAAAGAAAGAAAAGAAAAGAAAAAGAGGAGGAGGAGGGAGGGAGGGAAGCAAGCAAGGAAGGAAGGAAGGAAGGAAGGAGAAAAAGAAGAATAGGAGGATGGGCTGGGAAGGTGGCTCAGTGGTAGAGCACTTGCCTTGCATGCCTGAGGCCCTGGGTTCGATTCCTCAGCACCACATAAGAAAAATCCGGAAGTGGCGCTGTAGCTCAAGTGGTAGAGCACTAGCCTTGAGCTGAAGAGCTGAGGGACAGCGCCCAGGCCCAGAGTTCAGGCCCCACGACGGGACCAAAAGAAGAGAAAGAGGAAGGTGAAGAAGGAGAAGAGGAAGAAGAGGAGGAGGAGGAGGAAGAGCAATTACTAGAAATATAGACTACAGACCAATGGAATAAGATCCAGAAAACAAGCCTGTGCATCTATAGCCATTTGATTTTTTTCCCAAAAGCTCCAAAAATATAGTGGAGAAATAAAAAACAATTTCAAACAAATGTTATTGAGAAAACTTAATGTCCACATGAAGAAGACAGAAACTAAGCACCTATCTTTACAAAAACTAATTTGAAGTGGATCAAAGATTCAAATGTAGGACGCAAAACCTTGAAACTACTACAAGAAGACACAAAAGAAACACCCTCAAAAATATATATTAATACATATATAACATGTATTATATTATGTAATCTACATAATACATAGATTAATAAATACTTTTTTGAATAAGACTCTAATGTCTCAGGAAATTTTAGAAAACTTGACAAATGGTATTGTATTTAAACTATAAAACTTCACAAAGCAAAGGAAAAAATAAAACAGAATCGAGATAAATGCAGAGAATGAGAGTAAATCTTTTCCAGCTCTTCATCAAAGGATTAATATTCAGAATAATAAAGAACTCCAAAAGTTTGACACCAAAAGGACAAACAATGCAATAACAGTTATCAAAAAGAAGAAATACAAATGGCCCAAAAATATAATCAGGAATATTAAGCCATAAAGGAAATGCAAATCAAAATGACACTGAGCTTCAACCTCAACTCCATCAAAATGGTGGAGTAAACAAACAACCAACCAATGCTGGTAGGAATGCAAGAGTTGAGAAGGCAGGAACACATATACACTATTGGTAGGAATGTAAATTAGTGAAGCCACTATGGAAATCAGTACGGAGGTTCTTCACAAAGCTAAAAATAAGACTAATATAGAACTATGCCTGACCACTCCTGGGAATAATCTGAAGAGATAGCTGTACACTATATTTATAGCACCACTACTCACAAACAGCCAAGTATGAAATCAGCCTAGATGTTTATGACATATATATATATGTATGCACACACACACATACACACACAGACACACTGGAGTATTATTTAACAACAGTGGAAGGATGCTATTTTTAGGTGTATGGGTAGAACTAGTGCTAATCATGTTAGGTGAAATAAGCCTGACCAAGAAAGATATATATCACATATTCTCTCTTATATTCAGAATCTAGATCCAAAACAACCAACAAAATAATAATGACACGAGGTAAAACAAGGATACTGTATTGGAATAGAAAACTGGAGAAATGGTGAAAGGAGAAGTTGATTGGGCAGTGGGGGGGGGTGCGGAGAGATGGGGATTGAATACAATTGAATTCATATATATATATACATATATAATAAAATCAAAATTTATTGAAAGGAGAGAGAATGGGTTATAAGTAGCAATATTTGATTAAAATATGCATGTCTAGAAACATCACAATGAAACCACCTTTGTAAAATACACAGTAATAAAAATTTTTAAAGAATAAATCATGTGATGCCAATATAATTCTAACTCTAGAAAATCAAATAAACCACCACCAATTAAATCATACCTGAGACACATTTTCTTCAGCTTTTGAGTGTTCCAAGGAAGGGCCATCGCTGAATCGGTAGGTACTTTGAAGTTCTGAATACAAGAGATAACAGTTCCAGATGAACAAGCACATTAAAAGTTTGGCAAAATTCAGCAATCAAGTCAACTTGTGCTGGTATTTAGTCTGATGGGAAATTTTATTCCTGATTCAACATTACTACTTATTATTGGTCTATTTAGTATTTATATGCTCTCATAGTTTAGTTTTGCTAAATATTTATTCAAAAATTTGTTCACCTCTTCTAGGCTTTTCATTGTTAGTATATATTTTTTTCATAAAAATCAGCAATGATTATTTTTCAGTGGTACTGTTTGTAATGCCTTTTATTTGCATCTCTGACTTTACATAATTCCTTTTCTTCATTAATGTAGCTAAATTTTTTGTTGTTTTTTTTTTAATCAACTCTTGGGTCTGGGAAGGTAGCTCAGTGGTAGAGCACTTGCCTTGCATGCATGAGGCCCTGGGTTTGATTCCTCAGCACTACATAAGCAGAAGAAGCCGGAAGTGGCGCTGTGGTTTAAGTGGTAGAGTGCTTGCCTTGAGCTGAAGAGCTGAGAGACAGCTCCCAGGCCCAGAGTTCAGGCCCCACAGCCAAAAAAAAAAAAAATCAACTCTTTAGCCGAGTGCCAGTGGCTCACACCTGTAATCCTACCTGAGATCTGAGGACCATGATTGGAAGCCAATCTTGGAAGGAAAGTCTGTGAGACTCATCTCCAATTAAGTACCAAAATGCTGGAAGTGGAGCTATGATTCTCAAGCCTTGAGAAAAAGCAGCTCAGTGACAGCACCCCGGCCTTGAATTCAAACTCCAGGGTTGGCACACAAACACACATACACACACATAAAAATCAACTCTTTATTTCATTGATCTTTTTCACTGTTGTTTTGGGGTTGGTTTGCTTTTGGGTGGTTTTGTTGTTATTGTTTTTTGGTCAGTCATGGGTCTTGAAGTCAAGACATGGGTGCTATCCCTGAGCTCTTTTGCTCAAGGTTAACACACTACCACTTTGAGCCACAACTCTACTTCTGGTTTTCTGGTACTTAATTGGAGATAAGAGTCTTACAGACTTTCCTGCCTGGGCTGGCTTTGAACCCTGATCCTCAGGTCTTAACCTCCTGAGTAGCTAAGATTACAGGTATGAGCCACTAGCACCTGGCTGTTTTGTTTTTAAGTCCCTATTTCACTTATTTCTGCTCTAATATTCACATCTTTTCCTCTACTCATTATGGGTTGGTTTGGTCTTATTTTTATAAGTCTTTGAGATGCATATTTAAAGTTTTTCCATCTTTAAACAGAGGTACTTGTTGCTAGAGATAGTACTTTTACTGTAGCCCACAGGTTTTGGTGTGTTTCACCTCACTCATTCCAAGAAAAGTTTTTCTATTGCGACTTCCTTGATGTCTTACTACTGACTCAAGAGTGTGTTTGCTCTCCCTACATTTCTATAATTTCTGAAATGTTTGTTGACATCCTCCAGTTTCAGTCCATTGTGATCTCTCTCTCTTTCTCTCTC